CTGAGTGTTTGGAGATACCACACACTTCAGCAAATGACAGCTTTTATTCTTAGATGTAACTGAGGCTGTAAGTAGATTGTGCAGCAGCCTCAGACTTGCCATCCAACACACCTGCAGTCCAGCACAGGGTTTGTGCTTGCTGGGCAGAGCCAGCATCAGCCACACTGAGAGCACACATCACAAGTGAAGAGGGAAGATGTTTTATGAACAAGTCAGATTGGAGAAATGTCATTCATTATCAAGCATTTCAATGTATTGTTGCTGACAATAGGACTATTAAATGTGATACTATGTTCATTTGTATCAGCTTCTGTGCATTTAATGAAAAATCTCACTAGCTGCAAGATGGTCAGAACTGAAATTGTCTATATGTCTTCTACAAAAGCAGCTCATAGAATCACAGAATATTTGGTTCGGACGGGACCTTTAAAGGTCATCTGGTCCAGACCCCCTGCACTGAGCAGGGACATCTTCCAACTGTATCAGGTTGCTCAGAGCCCTATCTGAACTGACCTTGAAAGTCTCCAGAGATGGGACATCCACCAACCCTCTGAGCAAACTGTCAGCATTTCACCATCCTGATCATCTGTGTGCTTCCCTCAGCACTTGGATAATCCTTCCCATTTCTGATAGACTCATACATAATGTTAGCATGTGCCTAAGTGGATCTCTGAGCTATGCAAATAATTGAATTCTGATTTAAAAATTGAGCTCAAAAAACATCAATTTGAAGCAAGCAACAGTATGAGAGTGTTGAGGCCCTGGCACAGGTTACCCAGAGACACTGTGGGTGACACATCCCTGGAAATGTTCATGGTGAGATTGGATGGGGTCCTGAACAACCTGATCTGGTGGAAGGTGTACCTGCTCATGGCAGAGGATTGGAGGTAAATGGTCTTTAAGGTGTTTTCCAACCCAAAACATAGTATCAAAGACTGGTTTGAAAAATGAAAAAAGGACATGCAGAAATTACCTGACATGCTCTTTTACTCAACTCAGTGTTACTGATGCTGATAGTATTGTGACTTTCAGAAATTAACTGAAATTTTGCATGCATTATTAATTTTATCCCCAGTTTATTGCACTGTACTATGGGGAAGTACCTGAAGGACATGAACCTTCCTGGTTCTGAGCATCAGTCAATTATGGATTGGCTTTGCTTAAAAAGAAACTTGCTAAGAGGTTGCACCACTCCCTGCAATTTGTCCTGCAAGTGTTCAGTAAAAGTTTCTTTTCTATCTTCTGCTTCATCAGCTATTGCCTATAGTCAGAGACAAGATACCAAATTAGCTGGATTGCTGATCTGATCTAGCACAAGAAATGCAGGAGTGACTAGTCCAACTGAAGATTCATCTAGCCCAAGACATTAATTTCACCTGATTTCAGGTTGTAAATATGCAAGTAGAAAGCATCACATGCTTTCCATTCATCTGGTTCTGAAAAACTGACAAATTTGTGAATCCTTCTGTGAATCTGTGGTGAATCCTTGTGCTGCTCAGTTGCTGCTTTCCTTGAGAGTACGAGACATGCTGTGGAGCAGCTCTTGTCTGCTCAGACTTCTGTTATCCTTTCTAATCTCAGGAACACCAGAGGCCAGCTAGAAGTCAGACATAGTTCTCCTGAGAGAACAGAGTCCCAGCATCATGGTTACCTGGATGCTCAGTTCTAGCATGTTTAGTTCACACCAGCCTGGAAGGTGCAAACCTTTTCTCTAGCCGTTGAGAGAAAAGATTGTCTTACATTGGCAGTACCTGTTGCTGACACAACCCATCAAGGCTGTGTCTGAGTGCATGATCCTTTTGCTTGGTGAACACAAGTTCTGGCAGTTATTTAACATATTGCAGCTTTCCAGTTAACTGTACTCCTTAGGTAGAAAGATACTGCTTTTTCAAAACTATGGAGTAAAGGAAAAATGTTGGTCTTGTTTGGAATATTTTTGGTTTGTTATGTTTTTTGGGTTTTGTTTTGGTTCAAGACACTCTTCTCATTATTTTGTTATTTTTCAAATAAGATCATAATTTCTCAGTTCTCTGACTGGCTTTTGAATAAGACATCTCCATGTGGAAAGAAATGACACTGTTTTTATAAAGGAACAAAACAAACTATATTTTATATGGATATTAAATATGCTAAATGAAATGTGGCAAACTACTATAAAATTGATAAAGAATGCGATTAATCACAGCTAGTCACAGCCAGATTTGATGCCCAGCATTGGGAGAAGTATTTAAGGTACTAGAATATGTTTTGTCAAGCCTCATGCCTGTAATAGCCTTGATGCCATTAGAATCACATCTTTTCTGCAGAATCCTACAAGTAACTTTTTCAAAATAGGACAGAAGCATAGCAATAAGGTCATCTGCAACAGGCTTAGAGTAAGCCTAACCTGGGAAGATGAAATACTGCTCTGAAGAAGCCAATGAATGTTCTGTTATTGATTCCAGAGCAGCCAGGGATTCCCCCAGGTCAGATAGAGTAAATACGCCCAAAGAAAGGATTCATAATTTAATCACCAAAGACCAAAATTGCAGCCCTGAAATTCCCTGCTTAGCCATTACCTATCACTGATAATGAGTGATCTCTGCAAGGGATTTGTTAAATGCTTACACTGCTTGAAATTAGGCTTTTGAGCACACCCAAAGCTGTCCTTGCCACTGTTGAGCAGAACAGCACAGACCATACAGGCTTATGAGCCCAGTGCACCAGGTTTGGCGGCATGGGCACACTTGGCACTGAGCTGCTGGAGTGACATCTAGAGCCTACATGGCTTAATTCAGCAGGTTCAGAAAAGACAATGTTGCCAGCTCTGTAGCAGACTAACTGCTGAGAGTGTCCTGATTTCATTTCCCTCTGAGAGCACACCCCACCTTACAGAGGAGAACACAAACCAGTACCTGGCAAGCAGATCCCCTTGGCAACTAAAGGCAGCAGCATCATTGCTGTTGCAGAGCAGGCACGGTCAGGACTCCTATACACCCTACCCATGCCATTTTCCTTTTGGGGAAGACCTTTGCTCTAGTTTTATGAAGTGAACAAAGCAAATGTCAGTTCTTAGGAAGTATTGTCATCTGTCAGGAACTTCAAATGTTTGGCAAGAGTCATAAATGACAAAACTTCTTGACAACTGGCATGCACTGAAGGTGCTACATAGAAAAACTGACACAGACCCACTGTACATCATCTGAACATGGTGTGGTCAGTAGGTCCAGCTACAGAGTGAATCCCTGTCTGCCCCACATGTTCCATACATCTGTATTTTAGTTCAAAAATCTCAAGAGGGAAAGATGGGAGCCCTTACACACACATGTATCTTCAGGGGAGGATTTCTGACATTGCATACTGGACGAAGAGTGGCACCTCCTTCCAGGTGGAGCTTAATTCAGGCATAATGAATGCATGTCTTCACTGAGCCTGCTCATTTCAGGTGACTCCTGTTCAGCATGTTGGCTCTTCTAGATTCTATGCTGATGCCCTAATGCTGTGTTTGGTCCTCATCACCTCAGGCAGGGTTGTAGATTTGGTCTGGGCAGCCCAAATATCAGATGTTGATACACCTTCCCATAGTCACTGAAACCCTTTGAGATCTGGCCCACAGAGGCTGTAGAATTCAGGGTATTTACATTCACAAGAGTTTATTATTTTTGTGGTTTTTTTTTTTTTAAATTGACAAAATAGATCAAAGTAATATTAAATAATATAGAAGGTAGAAGCACTAGAAAAGCAAACCAGTAGGAGGTTCCAAACAATGCAAACTGAAATACCACAAATACTGCTCAAGGAAGTGGGCCCATTGTTACAGCTGTCACAGGCAAGCCAGAGGCTTCAGCAAAACTGAAAAGCAATGTTTCTCTGTTGATGAACTGATATTGCCAATATTTATTAGCTCAGGGTACAAAGATGGGTTTGGAGGTCAATAAGTTTACTGCAAGTTGAAAGTGATTGCTGTCTGGAAAACTTTCAGGAAAGTGAGGCCAGATTCTGGTTCCACTTTCATGTATTTGGTTACAGTAAAGGGGCTGTATTCAAATAATTTTCTTCCTAATTTTACAGAGCATTATTTAGTCATATTATTTCAGGAATGATCTTAGAAACTAGACATTATATTACAAATACTACTAAGTCTTCCACACCTCATCCATTGAGTCAATGTACTGGGACAGGGTTTCTAGCATCTCCAATTTATCAGGGTAGAAGTGACAATTGTAGTGATTTAGCAAGGCAATAAAATGAAATTATATCAGCAATTGTTTGTGGATCCAGAGTGCTCTCCTAGCTGCCTCCAGCTTGCTCTTCCCAGTTCTTCCTGCACAGTCCAAGAGGCGGTCTGAATAGCTTTCAGTTGATGGTCTATCAAAATTAGTATTCAGAGATTGCAGCTTGTAGCAAGCACATTTATAGTCATATGGGGAAGTGCATGGCTTTACGGGAGCTCTCTATTTGGAATTATGTCTGCCTGCAAAAAGACATGTATATAGCACAAAAGATGAAAATGAAAGAATTCTGCTGTTTCCTTCTTGCTAACCTGGATTCACCTGGGTGAGATGAGTTTAACCTTTTTGTGTTAAAAGTGCTGAATATCATATATCATAAAGGGACAGGAAACTGCACTCTGTAAGAATAACTGTAATCTTTACATTTCATGCTTTGGGCTCTCTTTTCAGCGATTTGAGCACCTTGATTTGGAAGGAAAAAAACTATATTAATTGCCAGTAGCTTTCTGACCTATCTGACTTTGTACTGAATGAATTTGAAGCTCTACAAGGAAGGTGCTAAACATTCTAAGCAGCTTTTTGTGTGTTAAAATTTTGACCATAGGTTGGTTAATTTTCGCCTTCATGCACGGAGAAAAAAAAAAAAATAAATCCTTGGATTTGTGAGGTGTCCAATTTCTGTAGAGAAGAAAGTGTTACTTCCCCTTTAAGCCTGGCGCCGTTCGTGTGTGTGTGTGCAGTCCGTGTGTGTGTGTGAGTGTGTCTCCTCCTCTTTGAGTGACACAGCACTTAGATATGCCTATCAGTAACTTAAACCCCACAAACTCCACCTTCTAAGTGAGGAAGCTGTGGGTTGATGGAAATGTAGTGAGCAGATCGAGACAGACGGTGAATCATTAGCAAACTGCAACGCCAGGATGAACTTGTCTGGAACCTAGAAGGAGAAAACAGGCTGCGAGTCCTCTGCGGCGCTGGGTTTGCTCAATACAGCCAAAGTGGATTTAAAAGCTGGTTGATCCCCAGTCCAAGATGCTGCTGGTTTCCCAGCGGGTAGAAGCACCACGGATGGAGACACATATTCCAGTAAGTAGCATTTGAAATCGATATGGGCTGGTTTAAAAGGACTTAAACACCCTCGGAACAGTTGCTCACCGGGCTCGGCACGGTCGCAGTCAGGCTGGAAAGTTTGCAGGGGCGGTACAAGAAAGCGCCCACCTTGAGCTCGCTCTGCCCGGGGTCCCATGTGCCGGGGCCGCCGGAGGGAAGGGGACAGAAACTGCAGGGAAGAATTTCGCCCTCCATTCTGGTCAGAGCTGTAGTCGGACCACGGAGAGGAGGGCAGGAGGGAGGGGGTCCTTTAAAATGGTGGTGAAGAAGGCGATTTGCGGTGCCGTGCGGTCCCGGGCACGGCGGCGGGGAACGCTCCGTGGGTTTCCGTGTCATTGCTCGAGTGCTGAGGCGCTGGGCTGCGGGAAGAGGCAGTGGATGCTGGCGGGGGCGAGCGGGAGCGGGGACCCGCCGGTGCGCCCGCAGCCCGCGGGTTCTCGTGTCCGTGCGGCCGGGCCGGCTCAGCCATCGTCCGGGGATTCCCAGCTAAACTTGGATCAGACGGACAGGGGAGGATAAACCCATCATCGCCCCGGGACTCCGCCGGGAGGGTGTCACGCGTGGAGCGGCTAGCGCTGGCCCCTCTAGTACAATTTTCTTAATAATTCCTGGGTATTTGTGTTGGTAGCCGCGTGCCTGGTTATTTTGGGAACCTGAAGCGCACGTTCGACAGGCAGGATTGTGAACAAAAGGCTCGTCCAAGCCCCGAAGGAGCCCTGGGTTACTCCTGACGGGAGCGTGGAGCCCGGCGCTGAGCCCCGAGCGCGGGAACAGCCCCGAGTGCG